GTTCCGGTGTTGCCAAGCCAGCCACTCAGCAAGAACCTGGTGAGTCCCTGCCATGAACGAAGAAGGCAGACCTGACACCTCTGTCTTCCTAGCAAGGCTGGGAAATGGGAGGCACCCGCTTAGGCCTCCTCAAGAGCAGAGCTCAGGCAGGAGGCAGGTCTGGCAGCCTCCCCTACTAAAGAGGAGGGAGAAGGCAAAAAAAAAGAAAGAAAGAAACACGAAACCTCCCAAAAGGGCTAGAAGATAAGAGAGGAGGGGGTTATTTTTGAGACCCAGGGGAAAAGAGGCCACGGAGAGGAATTCAGGAGACTGCGTGGCCTTCTGAGGAAGACACAGAAGCCCACGGTCTCTGAGACACAGACACAGAGCCTTTGGGGGCAGGGAGGAAAGGGAGGAAGGAGGTGAGAGGGGTGAGGAGGAAACAAGGACTGCCAGAAAGCCAAAGCCACTGCAGAGAAAGAAAATCTGCATTGGAGGCCGTAAACACCAAAGTAACACGCAGACAAATTGACAGAGTGGTGGGAAAAACATTTCACAAGGCATTTAATCCACGCAGAAAGATCTAAGGGACGGCTACACAGGAGGAGGCGGGAACCCTGGGAGGGGGCAGGAGGATGAGATTTGGAAGCACAGAGAGTCCTGGGGGAAAACAGAGTCACCCAAGCCCTGACCCCAAGGCAGAGCCTAACTTACTGGGTGGAAGAGGAGTCAAAATGTATTCCCGCCTCAACATATCATCGAGCTGCCAGGACTGAGAACTGAGATCCAGGAGGCACCAAGCTCCCTCTGGAGCACCCCAGAGCTGGCGAGTGCTCCTCTGGGACCTGATTCGAGAGACACACACAGGAGCACTGGCATTTTAGGAGACGTGTGAGTCCCAGACGTGCAGCCCGGCCAGGCTGCTGTGTTTGTTTTCCATGTGCGAACTGCTGGCACGACCCAACCACACTGTCCGGGGGGGACAAAGTGCAGTGACTCAGAGAGCAGAGCCAGGACGGAATCGGGCCTGGGGTGCTGCCTCAGGATGATGTCGCTTAGCCCCCTCCTGAGCTGCCCCCACCCTCAGCAGAGGCCCCCCAGCTACTCCCTCTCCTGAACCAGAGCCTCCCCCACCCCTGAGCTGTCTCCTCTTATTAGCAGGAGCCCCCCCCCACTCCCTCCCCTCAGCAGCCACCTCGCCCTCCTAAGCTCCGCCCCTGTTGCTGTGAGCAGCTCTTCTGAGTGCTTGCTCCTTCCCCTGCAGCCCAGGAGCTCCCACCTCTGGGGTCCTGTCTCCTCCCCACACCTAACATGAGGATGAGGGCCTGATGCCTCCCCTGAGCTGCAAGGATGGACAGGCTTTTCCGTAGAGAGGACAGGCCCTTGTCCCAAGAGACTTTTAAAGACATACCTTTTAAAGACATACCTTAAAGACAACCACTGCCATGCCAGATTTTTAAAGAATTATGACACACCTCCAAAACAACAACAAAGCCTTTGGGTTTCTTTTAATGGGAGGGACAAGTGACCGACCGGTGACAGAACTAGCGGCTAGGAAGCCCCGCTGTCACCTCTGATCAGAACCTGCCAGCGCTCGTGCTATCTGCTGGGTCACTGTGGGAGAAGGGGCTCGCTGGAACAACAGGGGAGACACCCCAGTGTGGGCCCCGATCAGGGCTCCGAGGTTTCTCTCCACATGAATGCATGTGTCCCGTGGACCCTCTGCATCCGTGGGCTCTGCATCCATGGCTGGTCGAATTGATGGAAAATTAAAGAGAAAACCCAAATAATAAAACAATAGTGTATAACAACTATTTACAACTCATTCATATTGTATCAGGTCTGATGAGTAACCTAGAGATGGTTTAAAGTATATGTGAGGGTGTACAAGGGTCACATGCAAATATCACGACATTCTACATCAGGACCCCAGCGGCTGTGGACTTTGGCATTCATGTAAGTCCTGGAGAGGGAGGACGCCGTGGATGACTGTATTCTCTCTCTCTCTATATACATATGGAAATATATACATATGGGAATATATACAGAGGTATGGAAAAACATTTTCTACAGTGAGCACACATATAATCAGAAAAGAGCTTTATTTTTCTTGCAGAAAAGGGGACTGGCTTGTGGGGTAAGGGCCACACAGCCCTGTTCTTTGTGCCGCAGACTCTGAGCTTGCTCTAGCTTCATTGATACCTGTTTCTGAAGGCACATATCTGAGGGGTTGGGCCCAGAAAAACTGCCTCTCTGTGAATTGAGGAGTATGTCTGAGTGTGACTTATTTATTTTCGAGTGGGGGGGGTCTCACTCTCATCCAGGCTGAAGAGCAGTGGCTTGATCCCAGCTCACTGCAGACTTGATGTCTTGGGCTCAGGCCATCTTCCCACTTCAGCCTCTTGAGTAGCAGGGACTACAGGTGCTTGCCTTCATGCCCAGCTAATTTTTATTTTTGTAGAAATGAGGTCTTGCTATGTTGCCATGGCTGGTCTCGAACGCCTGGGCTCAAGTGATCCTCCTGTCTCGGCCTCCCAAAGTGCAGGAATTACAGGCGTGAGCCACCGCACCTAGCCTGTGATTTCTTGTAAAGCATTTCCCAAGTTGTGTTTTTGGTGGGATAGTGATATCCTGGGGCCCAGCCACAAGGCCTTTGTCTTACTTTCCTCTGTACGGCTGGACTTCCCAAGGAGAGACAGACCTTGGGAGAGAAACAGCTGGCAGTGCCTCGGTTCCTCTTCCTTCCCAGGGAAGCACATCTTTATTAGCTGGGAATTCTTTACAGCCGGGCTGGAGGAAGTTTTTGGCTGTAAACTGTCATGCACTGCAGGCTTCGTTGAAAAGGCAGCGGGAGTGGACCTGGTCCTGAGAACCAGAGAACAAAGATCAGAAAGTCAGCCACAGACCAGGGAGGAGAAATAAGGGCTGGAAAGGGAAAGGCAGTAGACAGGACACAAGTCATAACCAGAGTCGCTAACTCCCACCCTGGCTGCCCCAGCCTCGTGGTGAAGTGTCTGGGTCATGGTCCCTCAAGCACTCTCGCGGGAGTGCCGCGCTCCTTTGCGATGGGGCTCGATTCCTGCCAGACCAGGCTCTCTCCTGTACAGCTCAACAGTCTTAGCGCCTTCTGGTCAACCTTCCAGTCTCGCCAGCGCCCTCGGACTGTGGGAAACGGGTCACGAAGCCGCCCGAGGGCCAGGGAAGGCTGCCTTCTTGGGGTAAAGGAGCAGCGGGAGGTTCCGCTCTCCTCGCGGAAGTCTGGGGTCCCTTCCTGGCCTGGGACCCCTCTCGCTCCCCTCCGCGTCCCCCTTGTATTCTAAGTGCGGGGGCTCGAGAAGTTATTTGACCGAAGAGACCGCCTTTCATATTTTAATAAGCAGCTTGGGAAGGGACGTGCGCGGACTCTGCCTCCAGCGCAAGACCGGATGGCGGAAGGCGTCCGGGAGGACCCAGTGTTGAGCAAATGAGGTCCTTTTGGTGCCTATTTCCAGAAGGAACCCCCCCCCACTCTGGTCAACCCCCTGTAATTCCACGCGTCCCAGACAACAAAAGAAACTGAGAAGCGCAGCGGGGACAAAGTGCTTGGACTTCCGTCAGTTTCAGGCCGGGTCGGACTCCTCTCCCACCCCGGGGGCAGCGGCACCCTCCCCGGCTGGCCCCTGGGAAGCCTCTCCCACAAGGCGGGGGAGGGCTTCCTCCAGAAGCTTCCTCACCCGTCCTGGACCCGGAACCCCGACCGGGCCGGGCCAGGCGCGAGTCCACGTCCCGCCCGGAAAGCCCCCTTGCTGGGGCGCAGGCTGCTCGGCCGCCCCCCCGGATGCGTTGGCGTGGGGGGTGTGCGAAGAGGCCCAGGAAACTGAGGCTGGAGCCACAGGCCTTGGTGGCAGTGGCGGACACGTGTTCAGAAGCGCAAAGTCAGGGCTTTGGCGCGCGGCTGCTTCTTCCTTTCCCCGTCCCGGGCTCCCGTTTGAGGAGGAATGTCATTGTTTAAAGAGACCCCATGGAACTATTTCCTGCTCATTGTCACCTTTCCCCGCGGAGGTTCTCACCGAAAAGCAATAAACCAGCCGCTGCCGACACCTCTTGGCGCTGCGTCCGGCCGTCGGGGTACGCCCGGCTGCCCGGTCCCTCCCGCCTCCCGCGCCAAAGGCAGCACCCGCAGCGGCGCACCCCGGGCCTCAGCAGTGCGCTCGGAGACCTCGTCTTCCGAGTCCGTTTTACGTGGGGGACGAGGAGGCTTCCCGGGAGGGTCATTTGCTCGTTTCCGTCCACGTCCCTCTGCGCGGAGCTTCCCTTTGCAGACTCGGGCGCGCCGCGGGGAGCACGGGGCGCCGGGGGGGCG